GAGAATGAAGTAGAAGTACATAATAAAAAAGGCACCTATCCGAGTCATGGTGTGAGAGTCAGTCTCAGTGAGTGAAGGTTTCCTTCCTGATGGACTCATGCTTAGCAAGTTCCATATCCCAAAAATTCAACACTCAGATGGCATGTGGCAGTGGCTATAGAAGACCTGCCTGTGCTGACCTGAAGCTCCCACCTTACCAAGGCTTTGCCCCTGTAGTTGGTTAAGAGACTGAGGATGTCCTGGGAAGAGGCAAGGTGTCTCTGTGGCTGAGGAAAACTCAAGAGCTCTGGGTAGCAGGCAAGTAGCACTCAGAATGGAGATATGTTAATATTTAATAGCTGCACACACCAGCTAAGCATAAGGTGTCACTTCAGCACAATCTACAGAGACACTCAATGAAAACATTAATGACAATGTGCATTCTTTTTCCTGGACTGATATCATTTCTAACAAAACATACACAGGCATGTGCACAGGGACATGCACACACACATACACACACACACACACACGCACACACACACATACACACAGAGACATGCACACATTCACACTCTCACACTTTCTCTCTCTCTCTCTCTCTCTCTCTCTCTCTCTCTCTCTCTCTCTCTCTCACACACACACACACACACACACACACACAGTATCTGAGGTCTTCTGATTTTAGCCTGTATGTGCAGCACTATTTCTTTTTAGTATTAAACACAAACATCTATCTATTGTCTCTTTCCACTGCCTCTTGTTAATTCTGTTTAGTTTTCCCCAACATGTGATGGAAGTTTTGGTAGATTGTCAACTACCCTCACCCCTTGCTAACACAAAGTAGGCTCTGTCCCTTTCTGTCACTCCAGGAAATTATCAAGTGTTTGATGGACATAAATATGGGCTGAAGGATACTAACGTAGATACTAGCAAGGATTATACTGGAAGTCTTTTAGTTCACTGAATCACGAAAGATAGATTCCAGCCACCCCTGCTCATCTACCCATCCTGTGTCCCTGGGTACTTGGCCAGGCCAAGTATTGGGTTCCTCAGAACACTTACACAGTCATACTAACAGGCATCTCACAGATGAGCCTGGGTATTTATAAAATAACATATACAAACACTCTATGCAAATGTAAGGTGCTGTCATTCATATTATAGATTAAGATAAACCAACCATCAGGAAGCAGTATCTTCCCTGTGGTCACAGAATCCTACTTATGTATTCAGTTCATGAGAATTTGTACTGACCTTGATGATCAGATCATCCCTTTCACTATGTCTGGCAATTTATTTGCCCAGCAGTATTATCTCAAAGTGTGAGCACGTTACAACCCTCCCTCTCACACATTGCTCAGCTGACAGCACTTTACCAGCGTTCTTCTTTGTCAGCAGTGCCTATACCGGACACTGAAGGGAAAAGACTGAAGATGTTGACTATAGCTTCTCACAGCCCGAATAAATTGTGAGTCTTGACAGCTCGTCAACATTTGATTGTGGTATGGTCACATTCTGTGAGCTACCTGGTTTGTAGGATAGCCTACTTGAATTAAATGCCACAGTTACTCACATTGGTGTCATCAAAATTGAAGGAAATAATGGTTTAATTTCTCAGAAATAAAATCAGATCAAGGGTCTTTTGTGGTATTTTAAAAATAAAGTCTAGGCCATCTGCAAGTTTGATTCCACTTGCCTTGTTAGGACAGGCGCTATTGTTGTATTTAATCTAAATCCACTTATTCATACAAACTGAAGGGAAAGCATATTACAATCAATATTGCATTCAGGCTTCACAGGAAGACAATGCTAATTTGAACCATTACTGATTGTACTTTTCAAAGACTGTATAAACACTTGCCTCGCTGAGCTCACGAGTGGGGCTCTGTTCCTGTGGGTATATATGAAGGGACACAGAGCAGAGTGAAGCTTGGCTGGGGAAAGCAATAGTCTATTTCAAAAATCAAGATGTGAGGATGACGGGGAAGATGTACAGAGGGTCAGGAAATTGAATGGAGGTGTGTAGCAGTGGGGGATGGGGAACTGGGGGTAGCCACTAGAAAGTCCCAGATGCCAGGAAAGCAAGAGGCTCCCAGGACCCAACAGGGATGACATTAGCTGAAATACCCAACAAAGTGGAGAGAGAACCTGTAGAGACCATATCCAGAGGTTAGGCATGGCCCCAGGTTGAGAGATGGGGCCACCCACTCATCTCAAAAATATTAATCCAGAATTGCTCCTGTATAAAGGAAATACAGGACAAAAAGTAGAGCAGAGACTGAAGGAAAGGCCATCCAGAGACTCCCCCACCTAGGGATCCATCTCATCTGTAGACACCAAACCCAGACACTATTGCTGATGCCAAGAAGCACTTGCTGACAGGTGCCTGGTATAGCTGTTCCCTGAGAAGCTCTGCCGAAGCCTGACCAATGTAGATATGGATGCTCACAGCTAACCATTAGACTGAGCAAGGGGATCCCAATGGAGGAGTTAGGGGAAGGACGGTAGAAGCTGAAGGGGTTTGCAACCCTATAGGAAGAACAACAATATCAGAGTTCCCAGGGACTAAACCACCAACCAAAGAGTACACATGGAGGGACCCATGGCTCCAGCTGCATATGTAGCAGAGGATGGCCTCATCTGGCATCAATAGGAGAACAGACCTTGGTACTGTGGAGACTGGATGCCCCAGTAGAGGGGAATGCTGGGCAGTGAGGTGGGAGCTCCCTCACAGAAGGGAGGATGGGATAGGGGGTTTGCTGAGGGGAAAAGGGGAAGGAGGATAACATTTGAAATGTAAAGAAATAAAATAACCAATTAAAAAAGAGAGGAAAAAATGTGAAGATGATACAGGCTAAAGACTGAAGGTCAGGACCCAGCACCGGTTTTACAAGAACCCTGCATGGGGCCATCAGAAACGTGCTCCCGAATGAGGCTCTCAAGACTCCACCTCTCGGACTCCCCACTTTTCAGTTCATTCACTGAAGTAGTGGGATGCAGGGTTGCCCAGCTGTAAAGGGAACCACACCCAGGCAACCTGGGAAACCGAAGCTCACATGGGCGATGTCACTTCCCGTCCTCATGCTTTACTTAACCCAACTGAAGTTGGGGAAGCCACAGACATCTAATAAATACACAAATCCAGGGCGCGGCTCTTTTCATCTTATCCCAAGAAGCAGTCTGCTGAGATTAGACCAGGGACGCCTTCTTCCGCAGAGCTGCGCAGCTTTGGTTAGCTTCCCTTTCAGGACACAGCACTTGAAATCGAAAGAGGAATTTGCCAGTCCAATAGCTTTGGCGCCTTCCTTGAGCTACAGGAAGTCCATTCATCTGATCCCTCTGGCTTCCTCACCAACGTTCATTCGTCCAGCAAATATTCATTGAGGACCAATCTGGGCCAGCATTGAGTGGAGAGTTTGGTGTTCAAGTTCCCACCAAAGCTTCAAGTCCTGGGAGTCCTGCCCCTCTCCCAGTGTGCAGAGGTGACTGTGGGCTGATAGCAGGCTGGGGTGTGAAGGATGCAGTGACAAGCTCCTACCCAGAGATAGTAAGTAGGAGCCTTCGTGTGGCTCTGGGATGTGGGAAGGAAATTTATTGCTCACTACTGTTGGAGAATGAAAAAGTGAGGTAAGGGAAAGAAATTGAAAATGAACTTAGACAGATATAAAATGTGATGGGAGGGCTCTGCTCACCGTCCAAAGGAACTACGAGCATCCACCCCTTCGGGGTTCACCAGGTCCTTACGAATGTGTATTTCTTCATTTTAACGTCAGTGATTGCACTGCCACAGACGCAAACATCACCTGCCGTACAGTTTTAGTACCCACGTCATTTGCTGTGAAACCATGCCCAGCTCACAGAAAGCAACAGTTAGAAGCCAGAGGAGGTACTGTCCGAAAAGAGAGGTCGTGTGGACTGAAGGCAGCCTTGTGGCAGTGGGTAGGGATCAGGTCAACACGTGGTATGTGGTACACCAGACTCACAGAACCAACACTCGAGTGCTGAGACATAACCGCATGGCAAAACACAACTAACGCACAAAACAGTAGCCTGTCTCATTAAACGGCTGATTTGCAGGTCACTGGCTTTTTTTTTTTTAAACGGGTCTATAAATATGTGACAAGAAGTTTAGATCTAGTACCATACTATTTAAGAAACATTTACATCAAGTAAATAATGTAATCTGTCAGCTTTTGCTTTCTGTTTAAAGTGGGTCTATTACCCAAATAAAAAATGGAAGGCCATATATGGTAGGGAACGTTGAAGAAAATTGCATAGAGACTGGTATGAGCAGAGGCTCGGGCCGTTATACAGAAGACTGACCATGCATACAGAGTGGAGATGGAAAGCCGTCTAAGGGAGGCTTGTGTCCTCTGATTTAAAGAATCCATTTGCTTTCTCCCAGAGAGCTGCTTTCAGGTGAAGGTCAGGGTGCTGGGAAATGCTGACCAGACAAGCCAGCTGCACGGGTGACTCACACACAGCTTACCCAGCTGGAAAACTCCCTGACTTCTGCACGCCTCATCTCTGTATTGAGGCCAGAACTAAATTAGGACCAAATCCTTTTCTATTGCAGAACACTAACAACGTACACAGGAGAAGTTGCTATGTACATGGTTGGAACAGCTAGAGAAACTGCATGCAGCTCTGTAGGCTGCTTGGAGCTAAAATGAGGATCACCACCATGTTATAGGTTGTAGGCTGTTTATCTAGGAAAGGTAGCTGTTGCTAATGTAGTTGGATGGACTTGCCAACTCATGCTCCTGGAAGAAGACTGCCTCTCCCAGTGGGTCACCTTTTCCTAAGGGCATGAAGATACACTGTGGGCTGGCTGTGACTTAGTCCTGATTCTCTGAGATTATGTCTTATCAATATCCCTCACCAACGAGGATTTTAGAGTTCTATAAGGATAAAGAATTTTTCTCCCTGAAAACTGGAGAGAGCATATGTCTTGCCGGTAAAAAGACACAACATCAAGACACTGCGCAAGTGCAAAGAACTAGATATTTCCTGCTTACCTCGGGAGCCATCCAGAATGGGGTCCCAACTGATGTGTTTCTCCGCAGCCGCGTGCTTGTAAGTTGAGCAGAGACACCTACGGGAAAAAGGTGTCAGAATTTACCAGTGAGCATGAAATGCTAAATAGAGGTTGGCAATGTTTTCTGTATAAGTTCCGATAGTAGCTACTTTAGGTGTCATGGTCCCTGTCACAATTACTAACTGCTGCCATAGCGCTAAAGCAATCACAGAAAATGTATCAATGAATGAGTGTGTCCATACCTAAAAAATAACCTTTCATTTATGGATGCTGAAGTCTGAATCAAGTATACTTTTCACATATCATAATATATTCTTTTGAGGTTTTAATAGTCATTAAAAAATATAAAAATTAGACAAGCATGGTAGCACATGTCTGCTATCTCTGCATTTGGGATCCTGCTGAAGCAGGAGAATCAAGATTTAAAGTCCAGCCTTGGCTACATAGTGAGTTTGAGGCCAGTCTGAGCTACAACAACATCTGGGCTACAATGACATAATTCTTAGGTCATGAGATACATAAAAACAGAAGGTGGGTCATATCTGTCCCATGAGCAATACATTGCTAACCTCTGGATGGAATTTTGATCATTCTATCAAAATCATTAGAATTTCTGTTTCCTAATGAATATTCTTATCCGTGTAAATGGAAATTTGGAATATAAAGAAAAACATCAACAACTATGATCAACCCAAAATATCTTCCTATTTTGCTTCTCAATTATTTCAGATGATTTCTTTAATAAGGCTTCATTTTATGGAGGAGGAAGATTGGCAAGCATTATCTATAATAGAGCATCAGTGTATACACAAAAAGATTTCCATGCCTTATCTAGCCTACAAGACTAGAAACTTGGCAAGAAAGCATTGCTTCTGAAATGGAAAAAGAAATTGACAGCGTTATTATCTAAGGCTCAGTGTTGAGGACCTGAATTTCAATATTATTCCACTGTCCTCCAATGACCTCTCTTCTTTGTACCGTCAAATAAAGTAGAAGTAAAAGTAGGCTGGATGAAAGGTTCAGAGGCTCACTCGCCTTCCAGTTCAACAACGCCCTTTCACTAACAATGTGTCTGCCACATCTTTCAGCTTCAGTTTCTCAATCTTCAAACTAGGGAAAAATGGTAACAGTCATGTCTAATGTATAGGTTCTTCTGAGACCAAATCTGAGGATAATCATGTCATGTACTTTAGAAATGTAATGTATTTTTTTATACTAAGCAATAGTCTATCACAGCCCTATAGAAAATGAGGAATTTTTGTCATTATTGCAACTGAAAACAAGAACTCAGGTCTTAATACAGTATGCTGCTTAGCTATGGACACACCCTAGAGACTTTAGGGCCTGTGCGATGTGCAGAGAATCACAGGCTGGTTCCTGGGTTGGCCATTTGCATTCTCTTTTGTAGAGATCCAGGAAGGGCTTCTGCCCCACAGGCCCTACACTTGAGACATGGACTTTGCTGCATTGTCCTGACTGGTCTCAAACTCCTAGACTCAAGTGAGTCTCCCAGCTCAGCTTTCCAAGTAGCTACAGGTCACAGTGCCATAGATAATCCCCACTTTACCAAGTCCCCCATAACAATATAGTAAACAAACCATTACACCTTTCTGGTTTTAGTTTCTAGAAATTTCTCTTACAGCAACTGGATGTTCAAGAACTTTTTACTGGAAAGATTAAGAACATTTTCTCTCTCGAAGCTTGCAAACCTGATACCTGGATAAATTGGTTTTAAGTCCTACCCTTTCCCTTCTAGGCTATGTCCCTTCTGGCATATTAAATACTCAGGGCCATGTGGAAAATACATTGCTACTGCCACACATTACCACAGTTCTGTCATTCTTCCTATTGACAGAGGAGCACAGCCTTAGATAACCGACTCACTTTATCCTTTTTCTTGGTGAGCCTCTTAAAACACACTGACCAACACACCTAAAGCAACTTCATTTTAAAATTGATTTGTATCCTATGTGTAGCAATGTTTGGTCTATCTGTATGTATGTATGTATGTATGTATGTATGTATGTATGTATGTGTACCACATGCATGCAGGAGACCGAGTAGACCAGAGGAAAGTGTCATGTTCTTGGGAACCGAAGGTACAGACAGCTGTGAGCCTCCAGAAAGGTTCTGGGAGCAACAGATACTGAGCCATCTGTCCACTCCCAACTTCATTCATTCTTCAATAACTTCTTTTTCACAAATCATTTGCTGACACATTCATATACCAAATTATTTCTTATGAATAAAAAATGAATATTAAAACCCACCATCTTATTTTTACTCTGGTGATGTTGGGAACATTTAGAAGTGCTCTAAATGGTTTCTCATTATTTGTAACAATAACTCAGAGGTACTAACTAATCTTAAACTTATTTAGATGAATAAATCATTCTGTATGCCAAGAAAGAGAACTAAATGGTTTGTGGATTTAGGACTGTCAGAACAGAAGGTTGGGAGAAGAGGCCACATTCTCCGGCCTCAGGTAGTACTATCTGCATTTTCTGTTAATGTTTTCAGGTCAATCAGCCTCATGTGTTGAAGCAATAGTCAGAATTTTACATCTCTCAGGCCCAGAGGACCAGTTTACCTTCTGTGCACTGCAAATAAGTATGCCCAAGGCTAGAGAAAGTCATTTAAAAGACCAAACTGCTTTCTCTTTTCATATGCAAAAGAGAGATGAAAAATGTAAATGACAGACAATTGCCCTGAGGTGGGAGACTCTCACAGAAAGCAAAAAACAAACAAAACCAAAAATACCATTTTCTGTCAAGTTTGTCTTTTGCAATACTTTTATTTTCTATTTTTAATAAAATTGCTTTGAAAGCTGAAAATAATTAGCAGAGAGCATCTGGAAAGCCCCCTACTCTTGGGCCCATTTGGCTGGAAAGTTCTTGAGCTTATGGTGCAGCAGAGAGCCCCAGTCTTCAGAGATTGCAGTAAATTGTCCCCTTTGGCTAAAACTGCACACATCAAGAAAACAAATGACAGACCCATTACCAAAGTCAACGAGCTTAACTCCTCCTTCTGTCGTCAGAAGAATGTTATTCCCCTTCACATCTCGGTGGATGATTCGGTGATGGTGCAAATGCTGAAGGCCCTGCTTGGTGTCCCAGCACCATTGCAGGACAGAGAGAGAAAGAGAGAAAGCAGAGCTGTCAGCAAATGGACTCAACAGCCCTGATCAAAGCACACACTAATTATTCCATGCCAGGGTTTACTCTCACAGTTAACATGCAATGAGAAGCCAAGCAGTACACAAACCGTCCCCTCTACACTATAGACATTCTTACCAAGAGGGCTCCATACAGAATATAGGAGATCACAGCTTCATCCAGCCGCTTGCCACACCTCAGGAGACCCTTGACAAGCTCAGTGACAGAGCCCCCATTACACAGCTGGAGAGAAGGTGCAGGACAGAGAGGGGACCAGAAAACCCAAACAAAAAGAAAAGACAAATACATTTAGAAGAAAAAAATCTACTGATTACTGGACAATGTGTTAAATTTTCAGATCACAAAACTCCAGTCTAAAACAGTTTGCAAATTTCTATTAGCCAACCAAATCAGGTTCTTTGTATGTCTGTTCTTTGTTCAAAGTAATGATTTATGAGTAATGATTTATGCTGATACCAAAAGCTGACTTTTTAATTGCCAAGTTAAATATAAAAGCATAAGTTATTACTTAGAAATTTCAAAGAGAAAAAATGTATCTGTAACCATGGTAACTTACTGGATACTTTTCACTTTATGTGACTACTGTCTTTAAAAACAACATACATTTTGAGGATGAAAAAATTGAAGAGGCAAAATGAATACCCTTGATACACATGCCCAGGGGGTTCAGGGATAAACCATACTAATTGCAGAAGTCAGCGTTTGTTAGCTACAAGCCACCTTAAATCAAGGCATCTATGGGCAGCATGATATACACCCATGCGTTTTTCTGGGGAACAAACAGAGCTAACTTCAGATGCCAGCAGCTATCCTTGAGCTTATGTAAAAAACCTTGTTTAGAGACTTGGGCTCCCTGTGGTGCTTTATCTGAAATAAGAGTCAACTAGTGAGTTGGGGGGTGCTCCCCTGCCTGAGTGCACTGGCTTTCTTACATAATGAAACCCGAGGAAGCACAGATCAGCAGCTGTACTAAAAGAGACTGCAACACAGTAAGATCTATTCAACTCCAGTTATAAACAACTGCAGCATCTACTGAAGGATGAGCCTATGGATGAGCTATATGATTGGCAGATTCTTTCTTTTTAAAAATTTTTTATTGGATATTTTATTTATTTACAATACAGATGTCATCCCCTTCCCCCATTTTCCCTCCCTAGAACCCCCTATCCCATCCCCCCTCCTCCTTTATGCTTTTATACCATTTTAATTACATGTATGTATTAAGGTCAGTTCTAGGTTGAGGGTCTAGCAATACAATAGATGCAAATAGTCAAGGAACAAGCAAGACAATAAACACAAATAGTCAAAAAAAAAGCAAGGCATTAAACTGAATTATATGAACAGTCCCATAATCACTGTCTCGAAAGGCTTATCAGGATGACCAAAGTATCTGAGCCTACTTCCCTGTCCTAGTGCAAGGTCATTTTTATGTCTGAAGCCTACTTCTCTGTTCTAGCCTAAAATTTAGAATCCTATCTGAAATTACTTCTTTGTTCTAGCCTAATGCCCAATTCCTGCCTGAACCCTACTTCCTTGTCCTTGGACATGTCAGATTCTTGCAAAGCAGAATGTCATATGTCATTCCTATGTCAGCATAATGTCATATGTCTGCCAAGCAGCCCATTTCCTTGTCCTTGGCCCATGTCAGATTCTTGCAAAGCAGACCCAAAGGCTCTCCACCTCTCCCCCTTTTTTATTTCATTAACAAGACTGAGCTTTAGGTCGTTCTGACAAGAATGCCTTCCTTACCCATCATGGAATATGCATTATCAAAAGCAACCCACTTCTGTCTTAGGTTGGTAAGGCTTTGTGCAGAATCTTACCCATTCTTGGCTTGCCAGCCTGTTAATTTAATAACTCTGTCTGGGGTCTATTTTCAGGTTCAAGCCATGTACTTCGGCTGGATTGTCAGATTCTTGTACAGTACAATCAAACAGCTTGGAGTGAAATGTCGATGCTTTTAACATTCAAGTTGCTCATAAGTATGTGACTAAAACATTAATAGGAAATCAATAAATCCTTAAAATTAGTACAAAATTACTATCAGGAAATATTTTTGCTGAGATCCTCAAAGCAATGAAATGTTTAAAGACTATGATGACCCTTTGGGCTTGATACTATATTAAATGACCTTGAGGTCAGCAGCCTGCCAATGTCAAGTTCAAGTGGTCACTCAATCCCATTGGCTCTCAAATGTTGTACTCTAATATTCTATTTTTCTATAGTTTAGATGTGGAATGTTCTCCAAAGCTTATCCATAAAAAATTGCCTTCCAGGGTGGCACTATTAGGAGAGGCTAAGAGTCTTTTGGAAGAAGGGCCTTGTGGGATGTCTTAGGTCCTTGGGGTGTACTTCCCATCAAATGAGTGGTACGGACCACTAGATGAGCCGTTCATTCTACCCAAGTTCCATTGCCATCAGCACTCCTACCAGAGGCTCCAAACCACAGGTCTTACTAGCCATGTACTATAACCTCTGAAACTCTAAGCTAGCATTTTCTCTTTATAACTTAATTATGTCAGGTATTTGTCACAGTGATGAATGTCCAATGGCTCCAAATTCTTGGTTTCTAGCTGTGTGTTACAGGACCATGAAAGGATAAATAACATTCAGTGTTCATCTTTTTGCTCCCAGTGGTTGCAATTAGACTGTTTATCACCTGTCAATCCTAGGATGGTAGTCTCCAGCCTCAAAGGGCTCTTTGCCCAGAAATGAGCACATACATAACTTCATATGCACTGTGGAGAGAGGGTGTGTCCAGGGAGTAGGGTGAACTCTGTTGAGGGAGAATGAAAAGGGATAGTCTGATACATTTTTCCATTGTAGATAGAATTTCAGATGCAAGTCTGAAAGACAAATGAGTTTGGAGTAGGATGTGGAAGAACAACCGGAGCAAAGGAGCTGGAGATATCCTGTGCAAAGAAAGGGAACATGAAAGAATTCTAAGCACTTTGCTGCTCTTGGGCAAAGAGAGGTGGGAAGGGGGACAGAGAATGGGTATTATCGTTCTATTCTGTGTCTCATTCAATACTATGACTTCATGATGTAAGGATCACAAGTGGCTCTAGAGAAGCTTTAAGCAGGAGGTCTTCAGGTTTACATTCTGGAAAGATAATTTTGGCAGCAGATTGTCAGAAGAACCGAGGACAGCAGCATCAAACACAGGCTATTATCCATCAGAAATTTTGGAAGGGGCTGAAGAGATAGCTCAGTTTGGTGCCTTAGGCAAAGTTACTATTGCTGTGATGAAACTCCATGACCAAAGCAATTTGGGGAGCAAAGGGTTTGTTTGGCTTATGTTTCCATGTCACTGTTCATCACTGTAAGAAGCCAGGGCAGGAACTCTAACAGGGAAGGGATCTGGAGGCAAAGCTGATACAGAAGCCATGGAGGAATGCTGCTTACTGGATTGCTCCTCATGACTTGCTCAGCCTGCTTTCTTATAGAACCCAGGCTGACCAGCCCAGAGTTGGCACCACCCTTAATCAATGGGGCCCATCCCCCTACCAATAACTAATTAAGAAAATGTACTATAGGCATGTCTACAACCCAATCTTATAGAGGTCTTTTCTCAGCTAAGGCTCCTTCCCCTATGTTGACTCTAGCTTCTGTCAAGTTAGCATAAAACTAGCAAGCATAGTTGGTAAAGTTCTTGTCATGCAAGCATAAGAGCCTCGGTTCTAGTTGGCATCACCCACATTAAAAGCCAGGTGGCAGTGAGTGTCTGTGACCCCAGCATTGGGGAGATCAGAGGCAAGTGGATCCCGATAGCTTTCTGGTCATACAGTCTTCCTGAACTGGTGAGCTCTGGGTTCAGTAAGAGATCCTTTCTGAAAGAATAAGATGAAGAACTACTGAGAAATATATTGACCTCTAACTCCCAAACACAAGTGAACACACATGCACATATGCACACACATGAACTGAGGCTCAGATATATACCATATACACAAACAGCAGCAGCAACCAAGGGAGTTGGGGCCCAAAATCAAGTCATGAATTGCCTAGGAAATAGAATCCAAATGGGTTTCTCAACACCTCTATGTGGAAGGTGAAGACACAGTCGGTGGACACAAGAAGATGAAAGAAAGTACCTGGAAAGCTCTCTGCATCTCTGGATGCAAAGCGTCCATCAGGACTACTTCCCAGCTGGGTTCCCATCCCAGGAACACATATGCTTTGCCCTGTTGGAGGGAAATGCTGAAATCCTACCAAGAAGACATTCAAATGCTGGGTGTTGACCCAAGCTAATGCTATGCTAGAAATTTCCCCCTAAAGGCTCTTGGGAATTTCTTCCCTTCCCAACCAACTGTTTGACAAGGACATGTTCAGCATGTTTCATTAAAGGAGCAAATTTGGAAGCTTTCTTCATCACTTCAGAACTTAGGAAGGGATTAAAGGTAGCTATTTGTCAGCAGGATCAAAACTCAGCTGTGAATTTAGAAAAACAAAACCCAAAGAAGTCTTACTCAGCCTGTGCCTTTTGTTCAGTAAATGTCAGAGTTAAGAGCTGTCTAAATTTTCAGAGTTCACAGAAATGTAATTAAACTGTTCAGGATACCTCGAAGGAAGCTGTCCTGTGAAGCTGATAAGCCCACTAGCAAGGTTTCAAAAGGGCAGTCTGTGGGGTACATGAAAAGACTGTGGTAACTTAAGTGTGAAAGCTGTATACTGACAAGAGTAAATGTTCAGTGAAGTGGGCTGAGCCGTTTAAAAATAAAACAACAAGTTATATTCAAATGCATAAAATAAAACAATCCCCTTAGAGTTGTCAAAGGCATCTGAGTCTCCTGCCCCAGCCCTGAGGGTTGGCATGAAAGCCTGTCCTTCCCACACGCTCTGCCAGCCGTCAGATTCAAATATGGAGGTGTCTCTCCAGCCCACAGTTCCTCCCTATTCCCTCAGGAAACGAAGCAACCAGATGCACCTAGAATTTAATGAGCATTTTGCTGCAAACTAAGAAAAACAGAAAAATGTCATTTGCCTTCCTCGTCTCATTTTCAAAACATCATTGAATATTGACTCAATCACAGCGTGTGCATTTGTCAGGACAGTCATAACTTTGAGCAATAAAATGTTCCTTGCTCAGTTTTCCATTCACTTTCCCCTGTGTTATTAAGGAATGGTCCAGGCAACACAGTCGCCAGACCTCTGTTCTAGCCTCAGCTCCAACTGTCAAGCATCTCCTATACCGTGGTGTTGACTTGACTCAGTGAGGTGGCTGAATTAAGGGGAATTTCTCTGCAGTGCCTTGTGATTGGTCTTTCAAGGCTGTAAGGTTCTACAAAAGCATAAAGAGTCAAAAGATGGCATAGCATCGTGTCTGCCTCTTGGTAGCCCAAAGCAGCTCAGTTTTCCATTCAAGTTGGGACAGATCATCTTGATTTTGCTGAATATCAGATCAAGTTTCCAACTCGCAGCTACACAAATGAAAGCCATGTCCCTTGGGACCCAGGAGCTCCGTGTCCTACAGAGGGTGCTCAGTCCTTGAGAAGTGTTTTTACTGGAGGCTTCCAGCTCCCTTCTCAGTGGTGGTTGGCTACTCCAACCAGCTGTTTCTTAATTCTCTTGTACTAAACACAGATAAGATGAGCCTGCAGATGCTGCCTTGCCATTCAAAGTTCTTCCCTTGCCCTGTCAGAAGTTTGCTGTCTTCCTTGACTGTATTCTAGACTCTCTAGAGCTGTTACAGCATTCAGTGCTCAGGACAAATGTCATCCCACCAACTCCTCTTCCCCATCAGACCTTATCCTCAACTTGTATAAACTCAACTCATGCCACAGTATGTCAGTGGGTGAAGCTGGCTTGCTCTTTAACACTTCTGGTGACATTTGAGACTAGACTGGACTTCTAGGGCCCGAATAAAAGCAAGAGTTCACTAGAATATATGCTTTCCCAGCCTTCCCTCTCCCTCCCCCTCCTTTCCTTTCTTCTTCCTCTCTTTTGCTTTGGCTCTGAACTTACACTTTGATCTCTAGGCAGGGCAGGGGAAGAGATTATTTTTAAAGCCAATTATTTAAGTTAATTTAAAAGCAAAGATTTTTTTTTACTTTGATTTTTTTTCCTTTGCAGCCTTTTTCATGGTACTCTAAACGATTTTTCAAAAGTTAAGCATTTGGTTCATGCTGAAATGATTAGTCTCTACCTGTCAAGGTTTTTGTCCTAAAAGGAGAAAAAGAAAATGCACCTTAGTGCGCATTAGGTACAATTTCCAAAGGCTGTGCTGCTCTCAGAGGTCTAGTTTCTTATCATGTCTTATTCGGGTAAGAGAAAATGGGACTTATGGATTTCTTTTTTTAATGTAATACTTACTTAAAACAAATGTACACTGCCCAACACACCATGGAGTGTATTCTCTTCATGCCTTCTTAATGCAGTAGGTGTCTACCATGAAGGGAGTTTTGTTTGCTTTTGACTAACAAATTGGTAATGAATTTCAAAGCTGACATTTTTATTTGCTTTTGTTTTCAGAGCCATGATGATTTGAGGAGCTTATTAATAACCTTTTCCTACCCTCTAAAATTACTCCATGAAACAGCTCCTCTCTGGCTCTCTCACCGCATCCAGCAGGCAAAGAGCAAAGGCAATATAAATTTAATCTCAGTGTAACGGACAAGGAGAACAACACTAAACACATCATAATTATAGTGATTGTGTTGCAAGTCTTGCAAGGCAGACCTTTAGAAGCCACTGGCAGAGCAGAACTGTGGGGGTACACCACAGCCTGCCGTCATCCATCCTGTGAGTAGACAGGGATGCTACCATCCCAGTCAGTGTCCCCAAAGACCATGTGCTCACAGACTGACCACCAGCACGTGGTGCTATTGGGAGGCAGTGGCCCTTTTAGTGTGTAAGGCCCGGTGGGAGGAAGTTAAGTCACCCATGGGGATGCTGTAATGCTGGTCTCTCCTTTTGCTCTCTATTTTGTTGCCAAGTCACCATGAGGTGGACCATTTCCTCTTTGCCTGTGCCCATCATGCTGTATACTACCTCTTCACAGGCCCCAAAGCCAACTGGTCAGAGGATTGAAAACTCTCTAACCATGAGCCAAAGAGGCATTTCCTTTTTAAAGTTGGCTTACCTCAGGCATTTTGTTACAGTGATGGAAAGCTGACTGGCACACATAGTTCAAGTCTGCCATGGTCATGGGAGCGTGCCACTCCCCTCCCTGGCCCTCTGGCCATCTGTGGACTACCAAGAGACTGAAGTTAAAGGGAGCTGGGCACTTCTGCCCACTGTTAGTAGTCTATCCTTGTGTTTCTAGGAGACTTGTGGAGGCACTGGTCACATCCAGCTACCCAGCAGCCTGCTGTAGACAACCCATGCTGGGACACAGAAGGCAGCATCCCATGCTACCAGCTTTGGCAGAACCACCATCAAAATGATAAACGTCAGCATATTGCATGCTGAGGAATAAGTCACCCAGTGTCCCTTGAGTAGCCTCGTTACCTGTCCCTTGGTCAATGGGAAATAGCAAGAGAGTATTTGGCTGGAGAATATCAGCACAAGGCTCAGGTCTCAGTCTAGTTCCTCACTATTCACAGCTGTCTGGAGAGCACCTGAGGTGCTGTGTCTGCCATCTCACCTCATCAGGAAGAGCATCGGCTCATAAGCACCTTCGGCTCGAGCAGCTTCCTGCTAGCCTAACAGAGCACTGAGCAGATCCTTGACAAGCCGCAGAGAGTTCCTGAAAAGAATCAATTCCCTTTGTCTGAGCACAGAGATGTCTGGGGTGGGGTGAGATGTACAAAGAAGGGAATGAATAAAAGCGGGAGTCATTGGTCACTGCACTGCCATGATGAAGCTACAAGGAAGGACAGAGCTGTTACAGAGCTAAAGATGACGACGACCAGAGCCTCCAGACACAATGCCATTCCTGAACAAAGCATCAGTGTTGAAAAGCTTGGCGGCAAGATAAAACCCTAACATTTTCAGGGCAGGGGTGAAGGGGAGGCAAGATGGTTAATGAAACCCAAAAGATGATGGGAGAATACATGGATGATTTAATGTGACAATTAATATCTCAAAGACGATTCATAAAAATCAAAACCCCCTGCATTGAGAGATAGTGTGAGGAAGACAGCTAATATGACAGAAATACTGAGACTACCTTCCTCCCACGGTTGCCATGGCAACAAATACATACTGTGCCATTCTCAGACTTTCTCAGATTCAGGAAGACTGGGACAAGGTGTCTGCACATGTCCTTATGCCCCTGTCATCCCCCTGCATCATTCTGGTGACACAGGCAGGGAGGTATGAGCTGATTCAGAGGGGCTAGGTCCAAGACAAATCAGGGGGGTCTGATGAGAATAAAGCAAATGACCAGTCTGACTGTCCTTCTTATCTTCAGTCTCAATTTAGGGAACTTGGTCTTCTGCACCCAGATGACATTCATTCCCATTAATAAAGGAGAGAAAATGGGACAACTGTGTACACATTGTGTTCTCTTTATATCCCCTCTGTAGAGTAGATATTGCTGGGAGAATCTACTGTCTCCTCTTCCCAGGTACTTTTCACTAGGAACTGCCCCCTCCTCTGTAGAAGAGTGACTTCCTGGTGGGGGCAGAGATACCAATGAGAACAACAGTGAACAGGCTCCCGGATATCCATTTCCCTAGAGAGATAGCTGAGGCCATGATCAGTGCTCCTTAACGTCTCCTTACCCCAATGTCTCCCTCACTTCTCTCTCAGCTAATCTCTTGCAAGGACTCCAATAACCTTCTACACATAACTCTCAGACTTGGTTTTCAGCAGCCCACACACATGAATAGGCAAATAATGACGCAGGCCAACAGCATCATGGGCAGAGTTCAGAAAGGGACTGTCCTAAGTTGGAACATGAGCTCTGTGACGTGTTTCCAGTTTATAGAACAAAATAACATTTTTCCAGTTGGATTCTTAGGTAGACTCTGTGGTAGAAGAAAGGAGGATTACATTTTTTTCTGAAGCATAGAAACAAGAAACCCGATTCACACCTTGCTGTAAGCACTGCAGTGTTTCACGTCTCTTCAGGTATCCGGCACTCAGGAGGAATGAACTCCTCCAACCTGCACCTGCAAACGCTCTTTCAACCCACAGCTCCCCGACAGGAGCCTCTTACCTCCAGAACCAGCCACAACTGTCCTCCCACACAGTGATCGGCTTTGTAAAACATCCCATAAAACTTTACAACGTTGGGATGGCTGGGGAGAAACTGCAGGATGTTGTACTCGGCCTCGATCTCCTCATCCATGTCCTAAACAGAGTTTAGAAAATATACGTCTGATTAAGTGTAGTGTGTGAGAAAAGGTACAAATGGAACAATGTGCTCAAGCCACCAGTTACTAAAGCATGCTGGGTATGAGTCTGAGATTGTTTTGTTTTAAACACGATCTCACTGCGTAGCTCATGATGAGCTCATGATGAGCTCATGATGAGCTCATGATGACCTCATGATGACCTCATGATGAGCTCATGATGACCTCATGATGACCTCATGATGAGCTCATGATGAGCTCATGATGAGCTCATGATGACCTCATGATGACCTCATGATGAGCTCATGATGAGCTCATGATGAGCTCATGACCTCATGATGAGCTCATGATGATCTCTGACTCACAGTACATCCCATGATGACCTCCAACCCCAAATCCCCCAAGGCCTGCAACTTTCAAGGGCTTGAATTACAAGTGTGCACCACCACATTGGATTATACAATATATGAAAGCCTTCATCGTCACGTATTCAGAGCACCCAAGAGCAGCTCTTCTGATCCCAGTGTCAACCCTTGGCTATTGTAAGCAATGACATTCCTTTACAATAATTTTCTTTTAACTGCATTATTATAAATGTCTTTTTATTGAAAAATATCTGAATTTTCCTAGCTTGAAGGAGTCCACGTAAAATACAGCTTCACTGTGCAGACCAGCGCAGAGCTTGGTAATCTCAACGCTTTGAAATAAAATGTCACCTCGGATGATTGAATATCATGAGGCTGGTTCATTTTGTAACTCACAGAGAGAACAGGGAATGGAATACAGCATTCTTCCCAAGAGAATAATTTTTAAAAGCCCAAGGCATTAGAGCTTAAACAGCAAATAAAACAGACAAGAAACCAAAGTCTAAGGGAGTTTGGGGGTTTTGTTTTTTGTTTAGTTTCGTTTGGTTTGATTTTGGTTTTTCAAGATAAAGTTTCTCTAATGTAGCCCTGCTGATCCTGAAACTTGCTTTGTAGACCAGGCTAGCCTTGAACTCAGAGATCTGCCTGCCTCCACCGCCACCCCCACCCCTCACCTTCCCACCTCCCTCCTCTTTGTGTTGGGATTAAAGTTGTGTTCCACTATGCCTGGCAAGTCCAGGAATGTTTTAACTCCAAGTCAAGTCCTTTCCTTCAGAGGTGCTGACAAACCAGGATTCATTTTGAGATTTCCTGCCAATGTTCATGAAAATTATCACTAAAATCAGGAAAAGGAATCACAAGCCAGTTGTATCCAAAACACTAGCTGGTCATTACAACACTCTCTATAACTCACACTGACGGGGTCCAGAATCTTCACGGCAGCCAGACTCCCATCTCTCTTGTTGGCTACCTTGTAGACTTTGCCGTAAGTGCCTTTGCCAATAGTCTCTATAATCTCCCAGGTGTCCATGGGGTCTGGGAGAGATTCCAGTCCAAGCATCATGGGGTTATAGTGAAATAATCCGTATAGGTGTTTCCTGTCGAGAAATTGTATCATGAGCGGTGGATTGCTGGATTAAAGGTAATGGGTTTCTGAAACAGAGTGATTCCTTTTTAATCAGTAGCCTTGTTACTTCTTCTTTGGTTCCTCCTGTGTTTTCAGTGAAGGAAACGAATTCAAAGCATCCGTAAGAAATGGTAATAGAAGACAGAGTGGAGACATAGCAGGATTCTGATACATCCTAAAAACACAAATGTAAAAGATTATGTAGGCGCTGTGAGCAGAAGGGGAGGTGTCAGAAGGGAGGCGCTGGCCCTGTTTACTCAGCTGTAATTGCTTGATGAAGAGAGGTGGCTGCTGCCAGAGAAAGTAGCAGAAAGACCCCCAAGTCTAAGTGTTTGTCCCCACTTACAGTGACCCTGACCAAGATTCCCGATGATCCCTGGAAAGGAATCTGCACACTCAGTGTACAAGCTCAAAGGCGCACATACCAGATACTGCTCTGTGTACAGGACCCACAGTCTTAGAGCTCTTTAAGGAGGAGCCAAGCCGGTGCCCCATCAACACAGTGATGTGCAGGTCACTCCTAGGTGCTGACTGGAACTGCAGGCTCACTGCCTTGATTCAAGGACAAAGATTTGCAGAGTTTAATTTCAGTAAGGCAAAGTCCTTTTACTACAAAGTCCTGATGCTGTGAGAAAGCCCGTGCTGGGTCAGGTGACCTCAGGCTGAGAGGACAGTTTTAACCTAGGTGTGCTTCTAGACCCCGCAAAAAGGACCCAGGTTAACTGGCAGGAGCCGTGGCAGCAAATCCCCACCTCAAACTTCAGCCTTGTGAATATTCTAGTTTGCACTTCTAACTCTTTTCTAGATAATTCTCCCAAAGCAGGGAAAGCTCTGTGATTTGGCACAATAATGAACTGGTTTTCCTTTTGCCTCATTGAGAACATTTCAAAACTCTGAAAGCTGACCACAGTGACGCACTCCTATACTCAAGCCCTCAGGAGGATGAGGGAGAAGGTCCGCCATGATGAGTTCAATCCTGAGCTATGCAGTGAGTTCCAGGCCAGCTTCAGCACCTGTGTGTGTGTGTGTGTGTGTGTGTGTGTGTGTGTGTGTGTGTGTGTGTGTGCATATCACAGGTGTATCTGTAATAGTTGATTTTGATTTTGATGGTCAATTTGATAGGGTTTGGAAATATGTCTCTAGGGGGTAGATGTGATGGGGGTGGGGGTGGGGTGGCTGGTGCAAGAGTAAAGTTGAGATGTGTCCAAACCCTGAAAAATCTCATCTTGAGACCCAAAAGAATAAGGATGGCTCCCTCCTTGTTCCTGGCTTATGTGCCCCAGGGGCAGACTCCCACAAGCCTGGTGGCTAAATTACAAGTTTAACTTCTTCTCTCCCTAAAACATCAAGACAGGCAAGCACCTGGAATTCCTCCTCATGTAAATTGAAGCATCACCCTACTCACTCCCTGAGGTTTATATAGCCCTTAGTACTCCTGGAAAAAAAGAGAGCTGTATCACTGAAAACCACGGCTCAGAGAAGGCTTCTCCTCACTCCTTCCTGTCCTCCTCAGAGAAGGCTTCTTCCTCGCTCCCCACCTCCCATATCCCCCCCCAACTCAAGTTACTGCAAACCCGCCCAGCCGGGACCAGCTACCCTCCTTTTATTCCGGCCTGGTGTGCAACGGTACCCAAACACCCTGAAAGCAGAAGCTGAGCCGGCTGCATCTAGGTGTATCTGAGGGTGTTGAACTGAGCAGAAAAGGTTGAACTGAGCAGAAAAGATTCGTTGTAACTGTGAGTGGCACCATCCGATGGGCTGAGGTATGGAACTGAAAGAAAAGGAGAGAGGTGCCTGAGCCGGAGTGCTCAGCTTCCTGACTGAGGTGGATGCAGGGTGCTAGCTGCATCAGCGGCTGAGGTCCCTGGCTTCCCTGTCACAGAGGGCTAAATTCCAGATTAGATCCTTACACAAAACCAACCCTTCCCCTCCTCGGGTATTTTGTCACGGCAAGAGGAACTAACTAATACAAAAACCATGAAAAAAAAAACCCTCACAAAACCAAACCAGTCGTGTTCTTCAATGAGCCTGCAGCTCACGTGAGACATTCAGCTGGTTGAGGAGGTCCAACCTTTGAGTACTGCTTTCAAGGTCCTGAGGAGTTACAACCTCTCCATTCATCAGCACTTCAAAAGTCAGGCGTCCCTAGCTATACATTCATAGCGTTTGTGGCATCTCCACACCTTCTGGGCTGTTAGTTATAAATACTTCCACGTTGTTCCCCTTTCCCACTTGAACATCTTTAAAAGACACTTGATAGCACTTCCCCAAATGCAGACAACAGTGTGGTTCACTGTTATCAACGTGAACTCACTATAGTAGAAGCAAAATAGAATGACTCAAGTCCAGCCAGGTATGGCTGCCCCTGGGCTCCAGGGTGATCTTTTATCAACCTGAGACTCACCCGAGAATGAGGAAGAGTTAAGGGTTGGCATGGCCTTCCCTTCCTGTCATCAGAACTGAAGGAGAATTAGTTATTGAAGGAGTAACTCTGCCTCGCTAGGACTCCTGTTCTTTGCTCCAAGCCCCTTGTGTTGCTGTTCTTGTCACTGTGGCAAATATCTGGGAAATAGAAACATCTGGTTCAGGTGGTACGGTCAGTGTGGCAGAGAAGGCAGGATGGTAGGGACAGGCATACAAGGCACAGGGTCACATTGCCAGTAGCAGATGTAACCAGATGACTGGGGCTCTGAACAGGGTGGGTTGTGACCTGGGGCTCTGAACAGGGTGGGTTGTGACCTGGGGCTCTGAACAGGGTGGGTTGTGACCCTGTCAGTGACCCCTCCCTCCACCTAGGCTCATCTGCAAAGGTTCCTTCCACAAGCTCCTCCAAAGGGCACCACCGGCTGGTGGCCAAGTAAGGGGACATCCTACATCCAAGCCACGACTCCTAGCTTCTTGATCCCTGAGAACGTTCTATAGCTGGGCTTCCACAAGAGCAGAAAAGAAGACAAGCTGGGCTTGGCTAGACAGGCTGAGGAGACAGCTAGAGCACATTCCAGCAACCATTGTTGTCCACATTAGAGGACGGTCTTCCCACTTCCGTTAGCCGAATCTAGAAACTCTCACAGACTTGGCGAGGGGTTTGCCTCCTGAGTGGTTCTAGGTCCTGGCAAGCTGTCCGTCAGTATAACATCACTGGTAGGCCACTGCACTGGGCCCTGTGCTGAACAAAAAGTACATGTGCTGCACACTGGCATGTATCCTCACCTCTCTCTGCTTCCTGCCGGTGAGCAGAGTGACTAGCTGCCTCATGCTCCTGCTACCTTGGCTTCCCTGACAGGGTACACTGTACCCACAAACCCTGACCAAAATAAACCTCCATCCTTAAGTGGCATTTGTCATGTGTTTGTCACAGCAGAAGACAGGTGACTAGCACTTGACTTTACCACTGTCACAGCTGAAGGCCCATGCTTGGCAAACGTCACCACAGGCCTTGCCCTTTCCCCTTTTTTCTTCCTTGTTAAACCATTAGATTACATCCCCTAAGCCAGCCATGCCAATTACCGACTTTGGCATCCATGTGCTGGGTAAAATGAGGCAGGCAGCCATGTGGGGAGGGGTCAGTGCTTAGAGCCACTGATTGGGGTGGATCCAGATACCTACAAGGACTGCTGCCAATGGCAGCCTGCGATTAGAAAAGTTACTCAGTAGACTTTTCTCTGAGGGAACAAAGCTTAACTTACTGGGGCTGACACTCCCTGAGGAAAGCAGAAAAATTATGAACTCTTTTAACTGCTTGGGGCCATCAAGAAAAAAAGGAAAGAGAGAGAGCGAGAGAGAGCGAGAGAGAGCAAGAGAGAGCGAGAGAGAGCAAGAGAGAGAGAGAGAGAGAAAGAGGATGAAGCAAAAGGCAGAGTCCAATAACTTTATACACGCAAATATATACATACATGTATATATACATACATACATGCATACAAACCTACAGACAGACATACGCATTCACACATAGAATGGTTAGCAAAGCTTCAGCAAGCAGGCTCCAAGCAGTTCACATATATACATACATACACACACACACACACACATACAATTGGTGGATGGAGCAAGCTCCAACACACACCCAGACAAGCTTTACATATATGCATACATACATGCATGTAGTTGATGGGTGGAAGGAACAATGTCCCAACCCCCACACTTTAGTCTTTCTCCAATAGCTGATATATCCCAGCAAAATCATTCAAGCAGTATAAAATCATAATATGATCAAGTTTTAGTTTTCTTCTAGTAAATGATTATGAAAAAAAACAGTGTGTTCTCCAGAACCTTTACAAGGATATGTAGTACAGGTAAAGGAAACAAATTATTCCCAAAAACCCACACATTCGTAACTAAACAACTTGTTATAGATTAACAAAGGGTAAGCAAGCAAGGTAGTTTTCTCAGCCAGTTTCTCTTCCTGGCAGGCAGCAATTTGCGGGTTACAAAAAAAAAGAGTAATTATCTTATTTTTATCTTGTAAGAATCCTAAAAGAATCACAAATCTAAGTTTTTATATAAAAATCAGTCAAAGCTACCTTAAGTCCTCAGAATGCATATTTACCCATCAGCAGTTCTTAATAAATCATATCAGGAAGCTGGGGGCAAAAATGGGTATAAGAAACCAATCATCACCAGTCCAGCCTCAGTGAGAGTCACATCAGCCAGTGCTGCCATTGTTCTTGTTCCCTGACCATAAAAGGTCCCTAGCTCAACTATCAAGAGTGTGCCTTTCTGAATTTCAAATTGTTCCCTAAAATTTTCTACATCAGAGCCAGTAAAACATCTCAACCTATCCTCACCAAAGGGCGGTGGTCATGCCACACTGAGGCTCAACCGTGTGGTTGTGCTAACCAGTGGACTGCATTCCATGAGTTCTAAAGCCATGTGTTGTTTGTGTCATTCCTCCTGCATGGCCCTCAGCATAGCCACCAAGGTCTATTCCCTTATTTGATCACTTCCTTATGCCTGACTAAAAC